AAAAGTTGTCCTGCTTGGGCGGGCATAGGATCCTGTAAGAGTCGTACCGTCTTGATGGCCTCGGTACTCCTCGGTTCCAGAAGGGCCGCATAAATATCTGAAAGGGCTCAAGCTCGAAGTCAGGAATATCATCGCTGAGGGACCTTCAGGAAACGGGTCGGCTAGCGGAATCCATTTTGGGTCTTGGGGCCGTATTTCACAAGGCGATTTTTTTGAATTACTGATTTTTGTAGTTATTTTGGCTTTATGCTCCCTGGTGCCAATGTGCGTCAGTTCTCTCGAACTTTACAGTTGGAATGGAATGTGTTCTCCCCTCCCGCTCTTGATACAAATGTGTTCTCCCCTCCCGCTCTTGACACATGTTGGCAGGAGAATTCCATTCTAAAAAGTTCCATCGGAATAATGTGCCCTCGTGAACCCGTTGATGTTAGTGCCATCTCCTAAGGAGTAGTGCTGGCGTGCTCTAAAAGCCTTTTTTCCCCACAAGGGTCGGGCGTGGTAACGTTGACTTCCGGCTCGACTTAAAGCTTACAAGCAATTCGTCATTAGCAAAGCACCTGCTGATTGTTTTTACTTGTTAGCGTTCTAAGGGCTCTATTGCCCTTTTTCAAGCCGTGGAAAAACAGAGCATTTGTACCTAGTTGGTATCAAATCTTCGGTGGTAACAGTGAATAAACTGGTCTTGAAGTGGAGGTATCTATACCGGCCTCCCTTCCCTTCTGTCCATTCTCCACAGACTTTACCTCAAAAGGGGGAATTCACTGTGGGACGATCAAAGAGGAAGGTCAAAGAAGCTGCTCTCTAGAAGGAAAGCCTTATTCTTCTCATATGCCGTTCCATTGAGAGTCTCATGATTGGACTCATTCGAACGAACATTCGGTCTGGATAGCCGCCTAACAAAGCTCAAGCCATTTTAACCCATTACCGATGAATAGCTATTTTCCAAACTGAGCGAGTTTGACGCACCGGGATCACAGTCTTGCAAGCTACAGACGATGGGGGGGGGGTGTCAGTGGGGCTGGGCTTGGCGCGCGGATAGCGTCTTCATCAGTGGTTAGAGAAAGTAAGCGACAAAAATAGATGGAAAACTACTAATGCGGAGCAAAATGTTACAGTCTTGTCGCTTGCCGAAGGAAGGAAGAGGGAAAGCGCTTGGCGCCGCACGAAACCCATCCCCTCTTGGCACGCCCTTTCATCCGCAGCGAACACGACTACATGTCCACTATTGGTAAATGTGTGTTTACTTTGTCCCAAATGGGTTAGATCAGCGTGCGCGTCTTTCCAACTTCCAAATTAATTCTACCCGGAGAAAAGTGCCGGCGAGTCTTACGTAATACCGCTGCGATTGGCAAACAGTAGTTCTGAACAATCCATGAACCACCTAGTGACCCTCCATCGGAGCTCGTAGATGCATTTGAATGGATATTTGCTTCACTCGGTCCAGGTGAGCCATAGGCCGAATGTCAACCGAATTATGTCCTAGAGGAAAGGGATTCGAAGGGATTCGATTGGATCCTATGCATTAGACCACAACAGCCGGCGGCAGTCGCTCGTTGCCAACGTCTCATCTTCTCCATCACATTCCCTACTTACACGGGCATTAGCCTTATCTTGTCCACAGACCATTCTAACAAAAGAGAATTTTTCAGCGAAAGAGTACGGGCTGATGAGAATCGTCGACGATCCGACCAAATGCGCTTGGCTTGCAAATGGACATTCACTAGAGCATTACTTGATACGTCACCAGGTGAATGTTAATCTTTATTCTCAAAAAAACTTAACAAATACCTAGTTGTGCCAACAGTGTTTCGGAGTGGGGCCTTTCAGCTCACGAAGCGCATTACCGAAACGGTCCACAGCGTTTTGTAGAGGTTTATGCGGGGACCACGAATGTGTATTTCATTTTTGCTGTGCGCTTCTGGGAAGGCTGCAAGAAAGGTCTTGGCGTTGGTGGTCGTCATGCTCTGAATTCCTTGGAAGAAGAAATTCCGCATTCCTGCAGTATTTGTTTTTTTATATATCCTTATGAGTCGCGACCTTTTGCCCCAACAAAAACATGCAAAAATACAGAAGAACTTTTGTCGCCCTCTTGGAATTCCTAGCAGCTCGCAGCGAAACTACCCTTTTGTGGTTTCCGCGTGAATCTCCATAAAATCAACAAGCCAGTATTGAATATCAACCCCTAAACCTGAAAGATTTCCCTTGTAAGCTCTGAGAAAACATACTCATTACCTGAGGGAGGGCAGCACTTCATGCCTGATGGGGTGCTCTAAAAATGGGTCTGCTCTATAGAAGGATTAACCGGGGGCTCGGGACAGGACACCTCACGCTTCACCACTGCCTCCTCATTTTTTCGCCAAAATCGTCACCTTTTCGCATCGATGCAGAAGATTTTCACAAAGAGCTATTGGCCATCACTCTTCCTACCTGTCACATACAATCTCCTTCACCTTTGAAGGTGCGGACAGGACAATTTTTTATCGGAGAATCAGCTGTGCGGATGAGGGTTGTGTAGTGTTGGAGATGGAGCTAATCGGGCCTGTACAAACCGGGATCTAAATGGGGCTCTATCTAAGGCAGTTGGCATGTTTTTTTTTTGCTTTTTTCTCCACTATCGACTTATACAGAACATTCTCGTCTATATGCAAACCCCTAATCCACATCTTTACACAATAGGGAAAAGTTCATTGGGAGCTCATCGTTGAATTCATTTAACATTGAATGCCACTTTGCCCCACGTTACCTGGAATTCTATAAATGTAGAAACCTGTGGCACACCACAATACTTGATGAAAGGTTTTTGACTGCGAAGTAAGAATGTTGCGGGGTTTTCATGATGAAAAAAAATTGTTCGTTACGGTAACGATGCGGTTGCAGGACACGGTAGAATATCGTAAGAAAATTCGACTGCTGAAAGTGCGTATGTTGGACGGTTCAGTGAAGACGATACCAATAGACGAGAGTCATCCAGTCGGTCAACTGATGGTCGGGGTGTGCACAAAAATCGGAATTTCCAACTACGAAGAATATAGTTTGGTGAGTCCGTGGATTAACTTTCTAGATTAGCACGTATGTATTGTCAGTATCAGAGGGCAGCAAGAGGCGTGGCTACGTTTGAGGTTTTTTGCCTGCTCATCCGAACCCCGCACCAGTCTCCGAGACACGCTTCTTGCTGCTCTCAAAAATGGAGTATACATATAAGCTGTCCGAGGAGAAGATGGAATAAGAGGTCCTTAACTTAGTTAGGGGATGACGAGGTAAAAGTGCTTTAGGTTCGCGAAACGGAGATGGACGGCCGTGGATCAATGATGAACCTCAGAGAAGATCGTTCTCGTTCAACTGATAGCGATCGGAAAGGAATGATGGGCACTTTGGGCAGAAAGAAAGAGCAGAAGCTCGAGCAGTTACGGTCAGTTAAAGCTATCCACGGAAGATGTGTTGTTGGAGGTCTCATTCTGGAAGAAAGTATTGACCTATGGACTCACTCATAGCAGCTGCACATTGTTTTCCAAAACCCTGTTCAGAGTGATTAGTCATAGGGCAACTAGGAAAGTGAGGAGGTCGTGCAGTGTTAGGGACAGAACAGGAATTCTGAATTCGCTATCATTAATCTAAGCCGGGGAGATTTGGGGCTTCAGTTTTCAAATTTTTTCCTGAAATATCTTGTTTGAACTGACCTGTTCCATTTACAGAGAGGGCATACTAAATGGCAGGTGGTGAGTTGATTTGAGTGCTACCTATAGAGAAGCCATTTGAGCATTATCTTGGTCGCGTAGAAAGTTCTAACAGCGCTTTTGCCTTCTCACACCTACCAGCGGACAGTCTAACCAATTGGATGCACTTGTTAAAGTAGAAATAAGGGAATGTTCATGCTATAGCTCGGAGTGAATAGAAAGGAAAGTAGGATTTTAACAAAGTATTCGAGTGTTTAGTCTAGACATTACATAAATTCATTTTTCAGCCGAATTCCCATGTAGAGTTTGCTGAGCAGATAATAGGGAACAAATCGAAGTAATCCACAGTTGATATCGCTGCACTTCCAGCAGCGTGGTGTCAGGATGCGCGGACTGTGCTCAGGCGCGACATTTCCTTGCGCGGTTCGGCTTGGTGGGGGCAGAAAAAGGTAGTAATGCCTGCAGAGGCCACCCTGTAAAGTCGTGTAAATCCTTGTGGCCAATGTCGTGCTTACAAGAGTTACCTGTAACTTCATGTGAGCTAGCAAAAATGTAAAATGCTTTCCCAAGTCTGGCAGCGCCATTTTCTACTTGAGCCAACCATTATTGGTATGAAACGCAGCCGCGGGTTGGCTCATTCCACGCTTCCTAAGACCGCCCGCCGTCTTGCAACGATGGAAATTTATTTTGTTCAGAGGGCGTTTTCATGTGTTTTTCTGTGACGAAAGTGTTCTAAAAGGGTATTCTGCTTTTCTACGGCTTCCTCCCGACCTTGATTTGTAAAGGTGTCCCCCTCTGATACTGTATTGTGCAGCAATAACTTTTAATTTCCTCATCCCTTTTTTCGATTTTCCTGCAAAAATGAAAATTGGCTTGCCTGGTGAACCACTTTTGGTTTATGTTTTACTCCTTGAGCTTTAGTTTTGTGTTGAGTGGATTCACACGGGAAATTCACGGGCGACTCCTTTGGAGAAAAATTTTTATTGAAATTTTTAGGCAAAAACTGCATACTGATGAAGAATTGGCTTGGGTCGATCATGGCAAGACGCTGAGAGAACAGGGCATTGGTGAAAGAGGAGACGCTGCTTCTACGACGAAAGTATTTCTTCAGGTGAGGTTTTAAGTAAAGCACTGATGAATTGCAGCGCTAACGAGCGAACTGTTAAATTCTAATTGTATGTTCTTTTCTTATTGACTTCTACCGAAAAACTTTGTGAATTTTGTGAATTCTGACCAAAAATTAGGTCTCTATAGAGTCTACACTAGTGGGAGCCGATCACTACTATGGGCTACAATTGTAAGAGGAACGCAGGCCTAATGTTGTAGAAGTAGAAGTGCAGAATCTAATTTGTATTTATGTTGAAGAACAGCTCTTTGACTTGGCATTTAGTTAGATGCACATACCGCACTGGTCATATAGCCGAAGGTAGAAAATCGCCAAAGTGGCGTCCCCACATCTCTGGGAAAAGGAAGTCACCAAAGAGGAAGGCGCTGTGGTTCCCATAGGCCCGTGTATTCGATCACCCGCTTATCCCATAATATGCCTTTTATCAGGAAGGGACATGAGGTGCATAAGGGAAGTTACCTAGTACTATGCAGTAGTTCGTTACGAAATATCTACATAGTACTGGATTGCGTACTCTGCGGGTATTATCTAGGGTGGGAATTTCAGATGAATCTACTCTTTTTGAGCGATTACATGCCTGTCAGCCGGATTTCGGGGTTTTCGGTAATGTCTTTATTAATTCGTTTCTGGTAGATTTGCAGCCGATCTGGCGCTATATTCCCAAATCAAAGTATCGTTGGCTACCTGGAAGGTTCAGTGGGATGATTAGTATCGTCTTCAGCACGACTCCCAATCCCACTTCCTTCTACCATCTATTCCCTAAACTTCTGACGGGAACTTATATCCAAATACATCATAGAACAACAAGTTGACCGACCCAGGAGTTTTCCCGACTGTAATGCGCTCTGCTAAGCTTATTTTCTTAATGGACTTTTCGGTGATACGCCATATTTATCTCCACAGAACGGGTCGACACGGGCACGAAAGTCCTGTTCTCTGTCTAGAATCCATGAAACCGTCACTAAAATGAAGGGGAAATTTTTGTGCGCTGAATATTGCCTCAATTCATGAATTCATTTTTTACTGTTCCATTATTTACCCCCAGTAACTGGTCTGAGGGGAGATTTGAGCTTCAATGAGGCATGCAACCCGACGCTTATTTGTTTTGGATGTCACGGCCTGTTTAGTCACATACGGTGACTGGTTCTATTCGATTACAATAATGATTTCACTTCTATGACTCCATGAGCCCCTCTCAACGGTTCATTGTCGTCCCGCTGCCGCTGCCACGAGCCTTTCAGTCAGGGCTCCAGACTTCCGGAAAACCACCCCTGAACTCCAAACCGTCGGTATAGAAAGTCGGCGACTGGGGATGTGATGCATTTTAAACCAGAGGGCTTGAACTTTCTTATCCATTCCCAAATTTCGCACATTCTATAACCGTTGATGAGGGCCTTCACTCTACAAATGTCTAAGCCCAAATGAAAGTTACTCGCCTCAAAAACCTCAAGGACGTCTCGTGTCTGTCAGGAGAACGAAAACACTCCGATACTTCGTCGGGCTTTCTATTCTTGCAAAAATGTTATGTAGACCTGACAACTCTAGAATCCCTGTGGTTTGTTTCAGCTTAGTGTGGCCTTGTTGAATATCGTTTTAATCAGCAGTTTCGAGGAATTTTCGTGATACTTTTAATTGCTCCTTGGAGACTGCAAATAAGAGAGTCCTCAGGCTTGGCACAGTTCGAACGAGATCATTTCCACCTTAATATGTCCCTCTTGCAGTGATACCAACGTCGACAGTCGTGATCCGGTGCAGCTGAATCTGTTGTACGTGCAGTGCCGTGATGGCGTTCTTCGAGTAAGTTTGAGTTCGAGTTCTTTAGACCCAATTTATCCAAAATTCAGCGATTCCAAATTGCGATACTATGAAGCCTAATAAAAATACAACGTAACTGGTTCAAGAGGGTCTTAAAATAGTTCGAGTGAGCGAATTGCTTTTCGTTGACGGGCCACTTTTCGAGATGCGCCACGCTTTCATCATCCATTTAGGATCATAACGGATCACGAATTTCTGCCTTGCCTGTACAATGGTTTGCAAGGAACCGAGTCAGAGCTTTCATTCTCTGAGACGAGCCTGCTGCCGATTAGTTCCTTCTGAGAGATCTTCATTCTTTGGATCCCAAGCGGAGCGTGTAGTAGCGTCACATATTGCTTCGTATTCGTTGATAAGTTTGTGACTACCTCGGAAACCCAGCGCTTGGGGTCTGGTCAAGTTTCCGAGATGCGCCGCCTTTTGGCCTCCATTTGAATGAAGTTTGAAGGTGCTGCTGCAACATACGCGTTTTGAATTAAATTTTAAGGGAAAATGTGCGCAAAAACTTATCTCCAGGGTTATTCGCTCACAAGTATGGAGAACGAAGAGCATTGCTATGGAACTGATACTCTCAATGTCCAATAGGTGGATAGAGCGTGGCTGTATTCTTCATTCAAACATGCATGGGACGCGGTTTTGGTGGGATATTTCCATTTGAAACAACTGAAATGCTGTCATGTACTGAACAAAGACATGGTTACATTTGTCCCGAAACGGTAGCGGCCTACCAAAAGCGTACACAACTGCC